GAAAGCCTTTTGGTGCCTTAGCAGCTTCCTGCTGCAGACCCAACCAAATGTGAAAACCACTGAAATCTAACAGTGGCGACTGCTGCCCCCACGACCTGGTAACAGATAAGCAGATGAAAATGGATGGATGGATGATAGTGAATGCCGGCGGTGCAATTAGTCTGCATTGTTAAGCTGCCGTGTTGGTACATATGTATTTCTATTGATTCTGCTCACTGGAGCGCAGCACACTGCAGTGTTGTGTAGGTATTCAATGGATAACACAAAACAACACAAAGGCAGTCGTATAGTCTGTATAATTATTTGAGATATTAATGCACCTCAGGTGGTACGTTCTGGTTAACCATGCCTGACTGTTCTCACCGAGGTCTCGTTCCTGCCACTGTGACCGTGTCTCCACTCGTGAGTAAAATTCACTGGAGAATTCGGTCTGGAAACAGAGTAGGAACTCCTGGTCCTGAATGGCTTCCTATTGTTCAATGTTCAGAAAATTTTGATATGGCGCCTTGATAGTAGTCGTTGGACATTTATAGTGAACCATACCAATTGAGAAAAAAACAGGTTTGATCATAACCAGACCAAACATTGGGTCTAAACACTTCCTGTTAGGGATGTGTTTACATGCAGTACTCCTAATCCTTCTTGGAAACTCCAATATTCGCTTTAACAGATTTTAGCTAGCACCAGCTGGACAGCGATCAGCGTTGAGTTGGTCAACAAAGTCAGCAGTTTGGAGGAATTCTAACAATCTGGATGAGGGACAGCAGCAGGACTTAGTGTTACTGATTTGTTCTGCTAAGAAGTGTTGAATATGCTAAAGCAGGTGTCACCAACCTTTTTGAAACTGAGAGCTACTTCAAGGGTACTTAGTCATACAAAGAGATACTTGTTTGATACAGACTTCCCCAACAATGTAATAATAATCAGTTCTGGGACATACAATAGTAGACAATCTTCTTAGCATTGTCATTGAACCCATTTGTATATCACTGCAAGTGGAACTGATTCAAAAAGTAACAGTACAATTTTTCACCCTCTTGTTGACTAGTTTTATTTTTAGAACATACCACTCGGGAACCTTAGGTAGTCCATGGGGGGTTACCAGGTGACCCAGGTGACCCCCTGTGGTAATGTCTCCTCACAATATATTTTGTCTGCTATTTTTTTTTTATTTAAACATAAAAACAGTGCTAATCAGTTTAAGTGACACTTAATGCAGGTCATGGTGTTTAGTTATATTTTTCAGAACAAATGCTCCACTCACTTTTTGTTCAGTTGGCTGTGTTAACAAACATGAATTATTCTATTCTTATATTTAGTTAATCCTTCATTTTATTGATATGTTGTGTAACTCAACTACAGTTTGAAGATTTTTTTTAAATATTGAAAGTCTTTTTGGATGTTCAATCTGTTTAGAAAAAAAATGCCTGTAACCATTTTCCTGTGATTTGGATTGAGTTCTTACACAAACTGCTCGTCAACCCATTTCTTTCAGTCGTGTTCACCTGTTTAACCAGAGCCGTTCAGTTCACGGCATATTAATTGAAGTCCAACAAACTTTACTTTTTTTTTTTAAATGGCATCAGAACAACCCCGTTTCCTTCATTTACTTAAGACATTTTGTGTCACCATGTTTGGATGATCAATAATAAACAGAACAACTCACTGTAGCTGTTGTACAAGGAAACAACCTGCGCTCCCTTACACCTAGGTTACATAATTAAATAAATAACATCAGCCACAGAGCTGCTTACAGATCAACAGACCAACTTTCATCTGTTTGAATATCTCCCAGCCAATGTTCCCTCTAAGCTGCGCGCGTGCGCAATCGCGCACTGCCCGCACATGCTCAGCGCACAAGAAAATCTATTTAGCGCATAAATAACATCAAGCATAAACGCATTAATTAAAATCCAATATTAGACTTAATCTAATCTAATTAATTCGCCCAATAATATTGTTTTTTTGTTTCTCACTCAGTGAGTGACAGGTGTCCAGCCAATGATACAATACGGTTCATTTACGGTACGAAGCCAATCATGGCATTGACGGTGCTTGCGTCTGGGTTCTACCTATATGAGCCGTGCAGGTTAGCTAGCAGGTTAATAGATACTAATACAAACCCTGCATCATGGCGAAACGAACAGGCAGCGACACAACCACTCACCAAGCCACAGTGAAAAAGAAATGCAGTTCTTTTAAGATGGAATGGTTGTCGGAGTATGTGCAAATTGAAGAAAAAGCGGTGAAATTGAGTGAGATTTTTTCTTTTTCAAGTGAGAAAGGTCTACTCTGCAAAACATGCAGCGATGCCAAAGTAGCAAGTGAGTTTTCAGAGGGAAAAATGTGGATTGAATGGAAGCTGGATTATCTCAAGCGTCACGTTCAGCATAAAAGTCATTTAAAGGCTGTCGAAACTACACGAAGACTCAAGATGGGGCAGGGGATTGGTACGTTATTGCGGGAGAGCGCAAAAGACCGAGAGAAAAGGAACGAGTTGTCACACAAAACAAAATCGGACCCTGAACAAGTTAAAGTTCTCATTGACAATATTTTACTTGCCATCAAAATGAATGCATCAATGCTGTCAGTTCAACAAATCCACGATCACATGGCACAAGTGTACAACCATTGGAGAAGTGAGAAGGACAGACGTGAAAAATAAGGTAAAATTTAAGTCAGATTTGTGCATATTCTAGTGACGGTTATTAAGATTTTGTCTTTATGGATATTAATTATTAAATGTTATTACTATTAGATCATTTATGGGTAGTAGAAATGCCAAGAAAAACTGTGTAATTAGATATTTTACAGACAAAGTGTTACAGGAATTTGCACTGCATCACAAGCTACAGCACAAGTCATTGTGCAAAATGTGAATGTTTTAATGTGAGCAAAATGCTATGTCTGAAAGGTGTATATGTCTCATATCTTCCAGAACAGGACCCTCAGCCAGGCCAAAGCAGGACTATCACATACTATATAACATTTACGCATCCCATTTTTCAGATTTTTGTCTTTTTTTTGAGTGGACCAAATTACTTATTTAAAAATAAAGCGCGCATATCTGATGTTGCTCACAGTAGTCCTCAGTTTGCTCAGGGAGCTTGTGTGTATGCCCAGATACATGAAAAATTAGAGGGAACATTGCTCCCAGCCAAAGTTTTGAATGCCCCTAAATCAAAACACCTGCACCCATGAAACTTTTTTTCCAACCTGGCCTCTCTGCCCTAACGTAACCTGATTTGTTCACCTTCACCTGCTCATCATTAACTTGGCCCAACATTATCAGGCAATGCTCAGACGTCCTCCCTTGCGCCATGATACATTGTGAATCTCTGTCTGCTGCTCTGTTTGGACCCTTAAGCAATCCCTGCCAGACCTCAGTAATTCCTTGGAACTAGAGACTTCTTCGATTCCTGCCACCGATCAATTCACTATTCTCCTGTTGTGCATTAAAACCTATTGAACCTACATGTGTCTGAGCCCAGTCCAACCATTACAGCAAAACTGTAACACAGAGGCAAGAAGACCTTCACTTTACAACACTCAAATTCATCTTTTATTAATAGAATGTATACTATGAATGCGAGGGCGACTCGGTTCAACGCAGAGGTCAGTTGTACATTTTCAGAACCAGGCTGAAGGGGATTTATATTTAAGTTTTGTGTTGAAACAGGTGATGTCACCTTCCAGTCTAATATTAAAACCAGACCTAGTTAGTTGTGCCTACATGTGTGCAGTTAGGGGGCAGTGTTGGCACAATAGGATACAAGACACCTCTGTAGGGTGCCCTCTGGGGTGCCTTGAGTGGTTATTCTCATGAAAAAAAATTCTTTTTTGTATATACGTATATACAGAAAGTCTGAATATATATATACAAAAAGTCTGAATATATATACAAAAAGTCTGAATATATATACAAAAAGTCTGAATATATATACATAAAGTCTGAATATATATACATAAAGTCTGAATATATATACATAAAGTCTGAATATATATACATAAAGTCTGAATATATATATATACAGAAAGTCTGACTATATATGCAGAAAGTCTGAATATATATACAAAAATCGAAACCCATTTGACCACAGTGCCCCAATCGGGGCGGAGCTATGCCTGCTACCACTGACCAGGCAGCACAGGAGATCCCTATAAAACAGCCCCTGCATATGTCATGGTTATATTTGTAACCCAAGTATTACAAAAGAAAACAGTGAAAGCTGTGTAATAGAAAATGTAATAAATACGTTAAAGAGAATAAGAACAGATTACAGTCATAAAATTGTTAACGATCTAAGATCACTTAATCACTGGGGGATTCAGAGTAACGTAATGATAATATAAGGGCGATAAAAATTGTTATAATTCATTATAAATACTTGTTTGGAAATAAATTATTTGAAATTTAGTAAATTTAGTAAAATAAAGATATTTTATTTAAAATCTGTCATATGACGCAGTGTAGTGTGTTCTTTTTAAAATATTAATTTGTATTCGATTGTTCATGCTTACTTCCGCATTGCGAGTGAAGTGTGGTCTGTAAAAAAAGTATAAGAAGTAACGAAGAGTGAATAAAGAAAGACGTTCATATCGAAGCTGCTTGTGTCACTTTGCTGTTATTTATTTCTACCATATATATATATATATATATGGCATGCCGATCAGGAAATTAATCTTATATATATATATATATATATATATACTGTATATATACACAAATATATATACACATACTGTATATAAACATGCATACATTTACAAGGAGTTAATTTATTATTAACTACTTCCCGGTGGTAATTTCCCAGTTTGGTTGTGAGGTGAAACTTCTCCTAAATGAAAGGTGTGTGTGTAAATTCTAAATGTAGTTATTTCGATTTAAATAGTGAATTACAATATGTTTTTTCTTAGCGTGAAAAGATTTCGAATTAGTATGAAAACGGATTTGTGCAACGTCAGAAATACAACTAATTGTTTCGACCTATGAACCTCACCTGTTTTATGATGGACTTTAGCCTGGCCATAGCGATGACAGTGACCCAGACTGACATGAGGGACCCGAGGAAATCGCAGAACTGCAGGACATCGTACTCCATGATGCAAAACACCACAATACCAGGCTGGTCACAGGCGTGGTAGAACTGTTGGGGACAAAGTAGAATGTTCAGGCAAGAGAATAGATACAAAGGAGAGAAAACAACCGGAATGACCGACCAACCAACCAACCAACTGACCAACCAATCAACCAACCAACCAAACAAACAATACAAACTATCACATATGTCACAGAACCTTTGGTGATATTAGGATATTTACATTATATATATTATATCATATACTGTATATACATTCAACCAGATGCATCACAATGAAGCAAACAGACAACCAAACCACAAACCCCATGCAAAACCAAAAATCTTTATAGGTACTTACTCAACTCTTATATAGTATATTTACCACCTTTATTTAAAATGACTTTACTGGTAGTAACTTCTCCTGAGCAAATTACAGCTGAGTCTGAAAATACTGTATTTTCCGGACTATTGAGCACACCTGAATATAAGCCGCACCCAGTAAGTTTTTAAAAAAATATATAAATTTACATATGTAAGCCGCACCGGACTATAAGCTGCCGCATCATACGAACTTCTTTGTGTGCTTCCCTTGATGAAAGGGTGAGGATGTGAAAATAATTCGCTGTCATGCGTGTTGTGTTGCATGTGCTAAATAAAAACTAGCGTGGTCTTCTTTGCACTGACGTCCCCTGTCTGTCTCGTTTCTGCACTTCCTGCTAGAACGCCCCTTGGCGGCTGAACAAAAATCCCTAGAAAAGCTGCATCTTTGTATAAGCCACGTGGGAAAAATTTAACGGCTTATAGTCTGGAAAATACGGTAATATAATTTAACAACATGTAGAATCACACGTGGATGTAGTGTATGTCAGTGGGAATAAACTTCACATCTTTTTTTTTATCTGCCCACCTAGTCTCTGCCTTTGCTGTCTCCCTGCTGTTACTGCACCCGTGTGCCTCCTCTGCTGTGTTGCACTCTCTCACTTAAAAATTATTATTTCATTCAATCAATCCCAACAGAGCAAACAGCAGACCACACATAAAAAAAACAGACATAAAAAATAGTCGACGCTGGTGTTTGGCACTCACAGTGGAGAAGAACATGGTGAAGATGTAGACTGACGCCTCCAGCAGGTAGTGGCTCCGGATGGCGATGGCCACAGGAGGAACAAACATCAGGTTACTGAGGCAGAGCAGCAGGGTGGAGAGCAGCTGGAAACTGTAGGAGTACGCCTCAGAGTTGTCTGTGCATCCCCAGCCATCCCAGCCTAACACACACAAACACACACACGCACGCTCTGTTGGTGCTGCGTGTTGATCTAGGAGTTAAGATCTAACAGAATAGATAGACTTTGTGTTTGCAGCCTTTGTAGGTTGTAAAAAATGTATCTTTCTTAAGCTCTGTATAAACTTATAAATGTCTTCATCTCCAAAACCCACCACTGAAAGAGAGAGATAAGGAAAACAACCACAAAAAAAGTTTCAGTTTGTTTCTCAACAGCAAATCCCAACTGAGTGCCTTGAAATGGAAACGACTTGGTCTCCACCATTTTCTACACTTCACCTGGGCTGCATATAAACTAGGGATGGCACTTTTGCATATACTGTATATATATTTACACATGCATATATATAGTATATATATATAAATATATATAAATATTTAAATACATAGGCTACACATATATACATATATGGTGTATTGTATATTTATATATATTACATATATCCATATTATATATAAACATACATGTACATATATAGTGTATATATTTATATATATTATATATATGAACACATATATGTACATATATGGTGTATATATTTATATATATTACACACATCCATACTATATATAAACACATATATGTACATATATAATGTATACATTTATATCTATAATATATATAAACATTTATACATATATACACATATATGAACACATATTTATATATACAAATATATGTGATAGCAGCGCCTAATGGCACTTGGCAACTGTAACTTACATTTTAACTGCTGTGTCCACAACACATGCTGCAACAGCTGCATCATCATTATGTCGCCAAAGTTAAGCAGTTTCTTAAAGGTTCAGTTTTATGAATCAGTTTGTTCAGCGGCGGTCCGATCTCGCCCATAAGCCGATCCTGGAATCGTCGCCACTATATGGCCCACTATAATAATCACAATAATGTAGTAGCTGGAGGCAGTATGGCTCGCACATACAGTACATATGCTGCCTGGGCCCTTTCTCACAACGTCGTGTGAAGCCCATCCAAAGCGGAAAAAACACGTGTAGCCTCTCGTTGTAAATGCGCTCCAGTTTTCTCACTTGAGGCAAATCCTCATCAGGCTCTGGATTGGACACGATGCCACAAATTAAACATTCCTGAGCACTGTTGAACAGAGGCTTTGCCGTGTGAGACTGTCCGAAGGCGGGTGCTGAATGCAAATGCATTGCCAGGAAGCAGTCACACTTATGAGGTATGACAATGGATTTAGGTGCAGGGAGAGCAGCTCTGATAAGAGAAGATCAAAGCTGGGATTTAAAACAAGCCTCAAAGGGAAAAGCTTTGTTTAATTACATAAGCTCATCTTTTATTAAAAAGCGGCTGGTAATTAAGAGCCTGCTTTATTGTCTCATCAAAATGGATCTTATTAGAGGATTAATACCAGGCAGCTGTTTGGATGAATCACTACGGCGTCTGCAGTTTAATTCCATATTTTCCACTTTGGCTCTGGCCGCTCCACCTGGGTCCATCTCATTTCTCTGTCGCCGGGCAAAAACGAATGAGCTAACAAATTAAACAGTCTTTAAGGCAGCGTTGACCTGAATTCTTCACAGTAAAATATTCTCATATTCCAAACAGCTTTCGACAGCTGAAAATCACTTCCGATTAATTTTTCATATCCATTATGTTTGCTAATAATTAATTACTCTTTAATAATTGAATCGGCTGCAAATTTACACAGCATATTTATTCCCCACTTCAACAATTTGCCTTGTTTTGCTACTAACTGCCCTGTGTCGCTTGGCAGAAGTGAATAAAACAAAAAAAAAAACTAAATTCAAGTCAGGTTAAGGATTTGACCAAGTGGAGGCTGAAAAATGAGCGGACAACAAATGGCTTTTCATCACCTGCTTTGCATTCGCATGCCGCATAAAGGTAGTTGTTGGTGCGCAGGAGCTTGCACTGTCCATATGTGCCGCAGTCGTTGATGCAGGGAGTCAGGTAAGAACGCATATATACCTCGGCTGTGACATTAACACAGGTCTCGAACCTGGAAAAGGGACACAAACGGGCAGACTGTCTGATGAGGGGACACGACGGCAGCAACAACAACGGTGAATTCAAATGAGTGCAGCCCTGTGGAGGAGGAAGTGTAGGTCTTTGTCCAACCATTTTCAGCTACACATCCACAATCTTTCAGGGAGGCGACTGAGACTTAGATGCAACAATAACGTATATTTATATATATTACATATATCCATATTATATATAAACATACATGTACATATATAGTGTATATATTTATATATATTATATATATGAACACATATATGTACATATATGGTGTATATATTTATATATATTACACACATCCATACTATATATAAACACATATATGTACATATATAATGTATACATTTATATCTATAATATATATAAACATTTATACATATATACACATATATGAACACATATTTATATATACAAATATATGTGATAGCAGCGCCTAATGGCACTTGGCAACTGTAACTTACATTTTAACTGCTGTGTCCACAACACATGCTGCAACAGCTGCATCATCATTATGTCGCCAAAGTTAAGCAGTTTCTTAAAGGTTCAGTTTTATGAATCAGTTTGTTCAGCGGCGGTCCGATCTCGCCCATAAGCCGATCCTGGAATCGTCGCCACTATATGGCCCACTATAATAATCACAATAATGTAGTAGCTGGAGGCAGTATGGCTCGCACATACAGTACATATGCTGCCTGGGCCCTTTCTCACAACGTCGTGTGAAGCCCATCCAAAGCGGAAAAAACACGTGTAGCCTCTCGTTGTAAATGCGCTCCAGTTTTCTCACTTGAGGCAAATCCTCATCAGGCTCTGGATTGGACACGATGCCACAAATTAAACATTCCTGAGCACTGTTGAACAGAGGCTTTGCCGTGTGAGACTGTCCGAAGGCGGGTGCTGAATGCAAATGCATTGCCAGGAAGCAGTCACACTTATGAGGTATGACAATGGATTTAGGTGCAGGGAGAGCAGCTCTGATAAGAGAAGATCAAAGCTGGGATTTAAAACAAGCCTCAAAGGGAAAAGCTTTGTTTAATTACATAAGCTCATCTTTTATTAAAAAGCGGCTGGTAATTAAGAGCCTGCTTTATTGTCTCATCAAAATGGATCTTATTAGAGGATTAATACCAGGCAGCTGTTTGGATGAATCACTACGGCGTCTGCAGTTTAATTCCATATTTTCCACTTTGGCTCTGGCCGCTCCACCTGGGTCCATCTCATTTCTCTGTCGCCGGGCAAAAACGAATGAGCTAACAAATTAAACAGTCTTTAAGGCAGCGTTGACCTGAATTCTTCACAGTAAAATATTCTCATATTCCAAACAGCTTTCGACAGCTGAAAATCACTTCCGATTAATTTTTCATATCCATTATGTTTGCTAATAATTAATTACTCTTTAATAATTGAATCGGCTGCAAATTTACACAGCATATTTATTCCCCACTTCAACAATTTGCCTTGTTTTGCTACTAACTGCCCTGTGTCGCTTGGCAGAAGTGAATAAAACAAAAAAAAAAACTAAATTCAAGTCAGGTTAAGGATTTGACCAAGTGGAGGCTGAAAAATGAGCGGACAACAAATGGCTTTTCATCACCTGCTTTGCATTCGCATGCCGCATAAAGGTAGTTGTTGGTGCGCAGGAGCTTGCACTGTCCATATGTGCCGCAGTCGTTGATGCAGGGAGTCAGGTAAGAACGCATATATACCTCGGCTGTGACATTAACACAGGTCTCGAACCTGGAAAAGGGACACAAACGGGCAGACTGTCTGATGAGGGGACACGACGGCAGCAACAACAACGGTGAATTCAAATGAGTGCAGCCCTGTGGAGGAGGAAGTGTAGGTCTTTGTCCAACCATTTTCAGCTACACATCCACAATCTTTCAGGGAGGCGACTGAGACTTAGATGCAACAATAACTTTTGTCCATCCATCCATCCATCCATCTTCAACCGCTTATCCGGGGCCGGGTCGCGGGGGCAACAGTCTGAGCAGGGACACCCAGACTTCCCTCTCCCTCGACACTTCCTCTAGCTCTTCTGGGGGGACCCCAAGGCGTTCCCAGGCCAGCCGAGCGACGTAGTCGCTCCAGCGTGTCCTAGGTCTTCCCCT